ACCAAAAAACCCCCACCACATAAAAAAGAGATTAAATGTGCATGTGAGGTTTACACCCATCATCATCTCTTGCAGAGGCATTATAAAATCACCACTGGCTGAATTGGAAGAAGTTACCAGCATTTCCAACGCAGTGGCTTTTTGTGTGGTGACGAGCACCAAAGAGAAGCCCAAATAATTTAGCCTGCCATAACACAGTGTTCTTTTCTCATTCTGTGCTTTTTATTCCTCAGATGTCAGTAGTATAGTCCCCTTGTCTGTGATCCCACACTTCTTAGTTACATAACCTATACATTTAATTTCTAGGATGCTGGCAAACATGCCAGGCAGAAGTAGTTTATTGCATTGCAAGTACCTGTTTATGCAGAAGAGATGTCATCGCTGTCTCCAGCGAATATGGAGAGGAATGCAAATGTGTGCCCCTGCCACAACAGTTTGACTCTCATGCAAAGGCTTCTTGATACAAAAAAAACCCTCACAAAATTATGTTCTTTCCTGAAACAAGAGTTGTGGGTATTTGTTAAGGATTCAGCGAAGTGTAGCAGGCAACCTTTTCTTGGTGAAGATAAACTAAAAGGTTATCAAGATCCTTTCCTGACTACTTTAAATACAAGTGGAAAGACTGACTCAACCGAGAAGGCAGTTTGAAACTGTGTTTTCTCTTTTGGCTATTGTCTATACTGGCTTCCTTTCTCATTCATCTGCATTTTTAGGTGTTTCTCACAAAGCACCTATGCGCTCCAAGATTTGTACTTATTTTTAAATCAGCTCCTTTCTGAAATGCCACTTTGTGGTGTATAAATCATCTTATCCCTCTTTTTATGGGAAAGTAATTTTTGATTTGATTTTTTTCTCTTGTAAAATGGGGATAACAGTTTTCACAAACTCCCTCAAGTTTCATGTGGTCAGCCATGCTGCTGTCTTCCCTCTCTTATGCTGGAAAGCTTTTCTAGTTATCCTTGGAAACATTTCTCCCTTTTCTGAGCACTGCTGTTTCACCTCTTAGCCTGGCCTGTGTAGCATCTCAGGCCACAGACTCCTCCGATACAAGAGATGTGCTGGAGACCTGGGTATGTGTGTGGAGGTAGGAAAGAATAAAGATTACCTTCTTGCTCTCTTCTCCCGAAGGCTCTTTCATTAGCATTCCTGGGATGTATCTCATTTAGCATATTCATGGCTTTAGGCTTCTTGTGTCCATTACAGCCTTCTAAAGACAGTGATAAAACTTTATACGTTGTATTATGAGAAACATTACATGCCCAGTCATTTTAGGAGGTTCAGAATGAATCTTATTATATAAAGATCAAAGCCGATACCACAGTGAGTGAGATCAGGAATGGGATACTTGGATTGACTAACACTGCCAACATCCAGTAGCTCTTCCTGGTTTTACAGGGTCTTTTCTTGAACACTGTGTCTTGCAGAGCACAACCATCCCTAGAGACCCAGAGTGGCTGGTTCTTTCTCCAGAAGGCTTCTCACCACAGGCAAACGTGTTAGCAGTTAGCCAAGGGGCTTGCTACCAGTCTCTTGGATTTGGAGGGACTCCTGGGCTGAAAGGGCAGAAGAGAAATTGAAAAACAAAATCATTTGCCTCACTGAGGGATGCATCAGAAAAATTCGGTGCAGAATGGCCGTGGAGGTAGGAAACACTCCCCTAGAGACAAGACAGAGTTTCCCATTGTTCTTAATTTGTCAGAGCTGCTTGATCTTTTGGTAGACAAGACATAAGAAGCAGATTAAGACATAGAGTAGGACCATGCCTGTGCTGTCCTGGCTAACAGGAGGAAAGGCTGGGCTCCTCCGTTCCAATGAATTTTTCTGTTTTTTCCTGTCTTCAAAGATGTGTCTCAGCAGGACTCTGTTCACAAGGAGAGTTCTTTGGCACCACAGTGAATTCTGTTACAGTTTAACTCTCAAGTATGAACAGCAAAACCCTATGTGAAGGATTTGTCTTTAAATTAGCCCCAAGAACTGTTTTGCTTTGACCATTCTTCAGCTCAGCTTGGATTAGTCTGTTGTGAATCTTTGAGTTTGTCCACCCTAAACTTTCTAATCATGTAGCCTCCCATATTGTAAGTAACGCTGTTGCTGTACTCTGGATAGCAATAATGATTTTACCATTAGCAAAGACAAGCTGGCAACATGCTGTTGCATTATAGTGACCATGAAGTGTATGCCTGCCTTGAGGAGAACTGGGCAGTGCATCATTTCAAGTAGCAGTGGCTGACTACCTGATAGAAATAATCCTGTTGTACCAAGTAGCCTTGACTTTGAAAGAAAAGCCACAAATATTTCTGTGACTGAACTCCAGTAATGAATACTCTGTGTGCAAATTTCTCCATTTACATTTTTAAACTATTTTGCAAAGGGTAACTTTCTGAATTCTCTGTTGAAAGATTTCAACTGCTGAATACTACTTAGGAAGGCTGTAAACTGGGGACAGATCCATGAGACTTTCACATGGAAGGATCATTGTAGTAAGTGATGAATAAAGTAATGAAACGGAAGTTGCTGACCTGGTGCTGAGAGCCTGGCTCTGATCATAGCAATACTTTCAAAATTTTTCAATACACCTTTAGTAAAAATAATGACATTCTTAATTATTTTTGAGGTGCTTTGTACTCTTGTCATTTAGTAGGAGGTATTTAGTATTTCTAAGAGGAACTAGTTCAAATAATTTCTAACAAGATCGCATTTGCTAGCAAAATTTGGGTTTTTTTTTCTTCAAGAAATACTTCCTTAAAATACCTGCTTCGAAGGAGAAATTAAAAGAAATATTTCCATTCTTTTGGGGTTACTGTAGTTCTGCCAAGAATATAAAGTCCCTGCTTCTCTTCTCTCTCCCCATTTCCCACTGCCTTTCACTGCCTCCTTTGTTTTCTCCTGCCCTAATCACTTTCCTCCTTTTCTCCTAATCACCAACATGCCTGGAAAAGATAAACCTGATTGCCTTTTTTGACAACCATTTGGTTTTAGGTTTTAACATGGTTTTCTGCCCCACGGCCCCCTCCTGTGCAGCCTTCCCTCACTGCAGCCACAGGACATATTTCTGGTGACAGCACCAACCCTGCAGAGCCAGTGACTGGTAGTAGCAGACTATGTAACAATAAAGAAGGGCACCCTGGATAGAATCACAAACCCAAGGTTCATTATATGAAGATTCAGTTAGTTCTTTAAACACAGAAACTGTGATGGAACATACTGTACAAACCAGGGTCACTGCCAGGTATTTATAGGCATTGCATTGCCCATTC